TTTTTGGGGAAGGGGGGGGGGGTTTTTCCTTTTTTCAGGGCGGGGGTTTTTTTTTTTTTTTAAATTTTTTTTTTTGGGGGGGGGGAATCCTTTTTTTTCCCCGGAAAAGGTTTTTTTTTTTGGGGGTTTGGACGGGTTTTTGTAGTTCCGGGTTTTTTTGGGGGGGGTTTTTTCCCCCCATTCGGGGGGCAGTTTTTTTTTTTGGTTTTTTTTGGGGGGAAGGTTTTTTTCCCCTCCCGGTTGGGTATCAATAGGGACCCGGGCAAAACCCCGATTTAATTGGCCGGGGGGTTTTTTTTTGGCCCCCCCCCCCCCCCCCCCCGGTGGTAAACCTCCCCCCCCCCCCGCAATATTCTAACATAGATATAAATGCGTATCAAGTTGTTTTTGGGAGGGGGGTAGAAGGATGCTGCAGAGAGAATTTTGCGGCATGGGACAGCCAGGAAAGACGGTAGCTAATACTGGGGTTTAAGAAGTGGCTTAAGTAGACGAGAAGGGATGTAGATAGGATAGGGAAAACGTTTTTGAGCACCTTTGGCCACGTTGGAAGGGACGATTGGCCATCGGCGATTGTGTCCATGGTCTAACCGCCTAAGGCATGCAAAACAAGAGTACGCCCCCCTCCCCCCCATACAAGTACTGACACTTCCCTTGTGCCCCTTGGCAGCTGATTGTGGGCATCATCTGCATGCACAACTGGTGGACAGACGTGAAGTATCACGTATCCAACGCGGCTAAGGCGGTGAGCGATGTGTTCGACAGGCGCGCCTTGCTGGAGGAGGAAGAGGCGGAGGGGCGGGGGCAGGGGAGGTTCTCCGGAGAAGAGGGGGGAGCGGTTTCGGAACCACTGCCGGACAAGGCGAGTTGTTGGTGGTGGTGGCGGTGGTTGACGTGTTGTTGTTGTTGTTGTTGTTGTTGTTGTTGTTGTTGTTGTTGTTGTTGTTGTTGTTGTTGTTGTTGTTGTTGTTGTCGTCGTCGTTGTTGTTGGCGATGTTGTTGGTGGTGGTGGTGGTGGTGGTTGAGGTTTTGTTGGTGTTTTTGTCGTCGTCGTCGTCGTCGTTGTTGGTTATGTTGTGCTTGTTCTTGTTGTGTTTGTTCTTGTTGTTCTTGTTGTCTCCACGTTTGAAACGGGTCTCTGCTCAGCACCTTCTAACATCCGTCCCGGTCCACCTGATGGCGTGGATACAGTATGCTCTTTTTTGTTTGGGGTGTCGGCGCATGTAGTTGGTTATCAGGCTCGCGGGCTCTTGTCGAGGGCGTTTCTACACAGAATAGGATTGACTCAAGTTCCTTTTTCTAGAGAGAGAGAGTTTGGCGAGTGGCAGACAGGGGCAAGGTCATGTGGAAACTCGCGAGCCAAGTCCATGACACCTAAAACATCCACGTCACCCCCGGAGATCTCGGAGATCCTGGAGATGTCGGAGATCTTGGAGATCTCGGATATTCGTATTCTGCCGAGTATACACAAACATTTTTTCGTGCGAGGCCTCTCGTGAGCCCAGCCTGCAGACACTCCGAATCAAAACCAAACCCTCCCCCCTCGTTGGCTGGTCTACCCGCTACTTGCTCAACAGGCGGTCTACACGGTGGGCCTTGGAGAGACTGGTGCCACCGCGGACAGCCAAGCGTAGCCGGCCACTACCCGCATCCCGCCTGGATTGGAACGTTTTTGGAACATTATCTTGCTCGGGGCCCTTGCCGGTGTGGCGGTATTGCGTGAATTGACCGCAACGGACAAGTAATACTCGGACAAACTGCTGCTTTTTTTTTCTGTTGTCTTGAATGCCGTTGTTGGAGTCCAAAGCGGATCTACGGTAGGTGTGTTTTAGATGAAGAGCGCCTGTGTTAACTTGACAGACATGTGTTGAGGACAAAGTATGGGAATTTGCAGTAGGGATAAGCGTTTATGGGGTCGGGGTCGGGGGGATCTGAAGACCCTCCCAATGGAAGCTGGGCCGTAGACTACTGTCTCTGGAGAACTTCGAAAAAGATAGCTGTCCGGGGGCTCAGTGTGTGATCGCATCTTGGGAGGGGGGGGGGGGGGCTGAAAGAAGCACTCCTGCCGGTTGCATGCAGTGTCGTGTGTACTATGAATGCGTCTTTATTGTGCTGTGTTATACAACTACTGTAGGTGTAGGTGTCTGCTGTGAGTAGCTTATTCGACGCGTCTGCGTGTTACTTTTTGACATTAACAGCTGGCCCAAGTGACGTTTGACGCAGGCCTCTAGCTTGTGTAGCTGGCGGATCCTCATCCATGCTACTCTTCCTCACAGAGAAGATAAACGCGTTGCGCCGTGGGCGGTTAAAAGGTAGGCCGGGCGAGGATAGCGGTGGCACCTGCATTGCAGACGTTTCGTCCTGTAGCCCTGGTGTCGTAGGTCTGTAGCGCATCTCAAGCACCAAGTGCTGTAGTGGGCTAGGCCGCACAGTTTTTTGTCTGAAGCATCGTCGAGAGTAGACTCTGTAGAGGACATCACATACCACCTGGTATTGTGCATCGATGAACGTGTGCTACGTAGGGTACGGCGGTGGCTTGCTGTGCGAGACCCAATTGTGCTGCAGGATCGGTCGCTCTCTCTCTCTCTCTCTGTAACATGGGGTCGATGCTCATCTTGTCGCCCCATCTCTTGTCTATGTCTGTCTGTCTCTGCATTATGTTGGTACGAGTTGTTGGTAGTGTTGCGTGTCAAGGCTAACGCCTGTTTATGGAACGCCCGAAAAGAAGCGTTATATGTGGCAGCAGTAACTGATAAGCCAAATATTACCGATGAAATCGCCGTGCTTTCACCGTTGATCTGGAGGCAGGCGTCATTGCCTGACGCTCTGCTTTTGTTGTTGTTGATGTCGGGACATGCGTCATTGGGTTGCTGATGATGGCAACACCGCTCTGTGATTGATGCAGCACTGCTGTGGTAGACCCCTTTTCTCCATCTCTTCGTGAGGTTTTGTCCCTCGGTTACAAAATCCTGCAAGAGTGATCCTCTGCTCAGCACGCTCGCCCCGTCAGTTTGGTGTGCGCTGTAGCTCGAGAGGGAAAACTCTAGCAAATTTGTTGCCCAGTGCGCGATGGCAAGGCAGCGGTATCCCACACACAATCTGCGCCAGAGAACTTGATGTTCATGCACAAACAAGGGGTTGATCGCGGGCTCCCGGCCAGCATTGTACCGTCGAAGCCCACAAACACATGGAAACAAACCAAAAAACGACCGTCAGCATCGCACGCCCAATACCCCCACCACTGCTGCTAAGGATAAACAACAAATGAGCTAGCTGTTCGGTCGTTCCAACGATCTCACGGAACTGTTTTACAGAAAACACTACAGTTGCTCAGATAACAGAAGCAAAACTACAGGTATGCATACGTCACACAATACTATGATTTCTTGCTAAGCCATAGAACACTATCGCAATCTTGCTAATTGTCCTTGACTCTTCGTCTGTGCATGCAGATTGAATTTGTTTTAATAAAAAAAAAAAAAAACTTCCGTAGAGTTCTTCTGACGACACCACTCGATCCGTCACAAGAACTGTTTTGATAAAATCTAAAAAAAAAACTACTTCCGTAGATTTCTTCTGACGACACTATTCGATCCGTCACAAGAATTCCGTTCCGAAGAGGAGACGGTTTCCCGCCAGGTTCGGCAACGCCTCCGTCCTACCGGCCGCTTTCTCCAAGTCAGCCTTGCCCTCCTTTCTCGTCCTGTACATCACTCTCGCACCCCTGCCTGGCATGAGCCAGGTGATGCCCTCCTGCGCAGCAGTTTTTGTTTTGTTATTTTGGCGGTCAGGAGGGGCAAAGAGAAACCTACAGCAGTGGGAGGGGGGGATGCCATGATCGAGCTAAGGCGTGGCCTACCGTCGTCCCTCGGTTAAGGACACACACATGGTTTTTCGTTCAAACAGGGTTGTCCTCAAGCCAGGCAAGTGTCCTTAAGGTTGATACCCCTCCATATGTTGTACATTCTGGGAGCCACCATGCCTGTGAAAAATTATTTGTCCTTAACCGGCGGAGCGTCCTTAAAAATGTTGTCCTTCACCGAGGGATGATTGTAGTTGATTTGTGTGCTGGGGATAAATTCGATGACCCTTACATATCGGATGGATAAAAAACCCGACGAGTGTTATCTATAGGAAAACCTCTGGTTGGGAACCGTGCGGAACACCCTCCGCATAGTATGGAGTATAGCAAGAACAGCAAACGTTTCGATAGTCCTTGGGCTAAATTTATCTGCTTGGTCGTTATCGATTGGTGGTCGCTTGAGCGGATGTTGGGCTGCTCACCAATGGACCGACCCGTCCCTTGAAACTTGAAACGCGTCCACCCGCAATCATCCGGCAAACTATTCGTGAACAGCAGATTCGAATAGTTCAATGCTGTTATTCATGCAGTATCTCCATGACATCCTTCCTCGCCAAACCTGTTGGCCATGTGCTTGGACAGCCAGCCTCAGATTCGGGACGCTACTCGATTTGCACGAACATCGCTCGTAAGTTTTTTTTTATCCAACACTCCGACGTGCAGCAAAACGAACGCGCATCTCTCCATTTTTTTACTCCGTCGACACCCACCCGTTACTGACGGTTGTACGTACATACAACAAACGTCGCTGCAACGCACCTTTGATAATAATCGCACGGAAGATGCCAGTGTTGCCCGATCGGTCTCCAAGGTTCGAGTAAACGTATCCAATTTCTGATTAAAAAAGAAGCACAGGACAATAAACAAGGGCAAACAGAGGGCGGGATCTGTTGAGAACACAGACACGCAGATCGCCAAATCTCTGAACATGAGGTTCATGGAACAACAAGTGCAATCGTTTGTTTGGTGTACACGACTGACGCCCAAATAAATGAAGACACGTGACATGTATCTCCACACGTATCGGCCGTTAAGGTGTCATGTAACGTCCGGTCACCCACCGAACACTTGAACGTCGTTTGACGCTACCCTCCATGAAGATCACCCCATGTGGTTGACACTGCGAGCTCAAGGCAGAAGAAGTACATCAGATGCTAAAGAAAAGACTAGGCCTTCCCCGGCTTGCCGTTCAGTACGTCTGTTGCAAATTCCCAAAACACCTGGACTTTGTACGATGGTAATTATCTGTGTGTGTGGGCGGTCGACAGAGACAAGGGGTCCCGTGATACGGATATATATCAAGGTGCTGTAGGTTGCGTAAGATACCACATCCCCTGGACCGATTTTTCAAAGCTCGATTAGATCACTCCACCACCAAGAGGGTACCGAGGGCAAACGATACGTTGTCGGAAAGCTCTAGACGGGACGGTTCGAACTCCGCCTTTTTCGGCACCGTCACTGCTTTCCCTTCCGAGTAATCAAGCTTTGAAAATCGGCCAAGGGGGTATGATGTCGTATGTAACCTACGGCATGTATCTGTCGTTTGGATGACGCACGTGACCCTGAATCTTGGGCTCTCCTTTTGTCGCTATCTTTCGAAAAATAACTGGCGGTTTGTGTGTGATCACTCAAGCCTAGACTGCCATCAGTTTCTGGGAGAGGAGTCCTGATGGGAATGGATCAACTGCCAATCCTGGCAAATCCTATAATACGCCTTGCTGTTGTCTGGGGAAGTCCTGAAGAGTATGGATCAATTGCCAATCCCGGTGAGCCTGCATACGCCTCGTTGTTGCTGTCTCTTTACGCTAAACATCGTTCCTGTCTCCGCTCAGTATCTTCTACTGTCAGTACTGGTCCACATGACGCGGACAACCTCCATGGTCACAGGCCAACTACCCGAACAGGGCACACCTTTTCTACACATGGAAGAACGGAGAACAAAAATGGACCCAGAAAAAACACCCTCCAACCGCGAAAATGGCCTGCCACCACCACAATAACATCGACGAAACCCCTACCCTCACCTCTTTCTCCACCGACATCCCCACCGTGCCCCCGGTGAAGCCGAGCCTCTCCTTACCCCCCCTCTTCCTCTTTCCCCACTCCACGATGACCCCGATCGACCCCCTTGTTTGTCCCGGGATGCCTACGATCTTGACGGTGGGGTCATGCGGAGCGCAGTCCTCGTCTGCTACCTCAAAGAAGTCGAACCTCGCTGTAGGAATAGAACAAGACAAGGGTTGGTTGGTTGTTGTTGGTGGTGGGGGTGATGTCCTTGTTGTTGTGGTCGTTGTGTTGCTGCCATTGCTGTTGCTGTCTTCAAATCAAAATGTTCGTGGGACCGCAAAAAACTCGACTTTACGGTTGATGGGAAAAGAGGCACCGCACCTAAACTCCTCCATAGAAAAATGAAGTCAATCACCGTAGAACGGTAGATTAAATATGAGTTGACATTCCATTCCTCCTCTGTTCCCGTTTCCTTGCTGATGTGTCCAACACATACCGAACGCTGCGAAAAATGTCATCCAGATCAGGTAGGGCTACACAAACACACACAGAGAAACGCTCGCATGTTCTCCATATCTGCAGTTAAAGACCAACAACATTTGAGACACAATCTGGCATATCTTACCGCTCGGGCAAAACAGGCTGCACGGTGAAACATCATCCCCACCACTTCCTAGAAAAAGAACACCGCCGAATGCCACAATAGGTTGACCAATATTCTTGCGGCTCGGTAAAACCAGGCTGTTCCATGATTCGTCATCTCCATCATGCCCTAGGAAAGGAACACTGCTGTATCCCACAATAGGTTGAGAATATTCTTACGGCTCGGGAAATCCATGTAAAACATAATCCCACCATGTCCTAGGAAAGGAACACTGCTGTATCACGCAACAGGTTGTGCCCTTTACCCGTGTCTCCAGTAACGTAGCCGTCTTCTGGCGACTCAAAGCCGTCTTCAACGAGGTACCAGGGTCCCTTCCCATCCAGCCTCTCTTCCATGATACGCGTCTTGCGGACTAGGTCCAACCGGTGCAGGATGCGGATCATTCCCGGAAATTTCTTCTTCCACCTCTCGTGCCCTGGCCAGCAAGAGACAAAACACGCACGTACACATAATTATTGTCGTAGGCAAAACGGTCGGGATGTTGCGATACATGGCAAACGTAAGCCGCAAATTGAAACGTATAATTGGATAAATTGAAACGCACAGGAGAAAGGGTGGCCGTGGCAACCAGACCAAAAATAACGAAAGGGTGAACAAAGAAACCGCGGTGGTGGTGCGGGATACTCTAAATACGTGGACGTGGTCCTGAAGCAAACCCATATTTCTTTATATGCCTATAAAAACAATCAAAATTTGTCTTAATCGAAACTCGAAATCTGTAACAGTCCAGGGAAAATAAGCAATTAATCATATTAACTCATGGTCTTCTACGGCCAATACCTATCTGTGTGTTGTATCTACTCATCTCCGACTCCGAGCAACATACAGCAGTGATACGTCCCGGGCGAAAGTTGTTTTAGTCTTGTCTTACCATCGGCGTTATCCCTGGCTGTAACAATCATGTACTTCACGTCTCCAAGGGCCGCCACCTGATCTGCAGTCTGCTCCAGGTACCTGGGCACGGGAGTGCATTGACCAGAGCGGTGATGGTAAGGTATATCGGATGAGTAACAGACATGAGCCAGCCGTCTGTTCATGGTGCAGCGACAACGAGCATAGCTGTGTGTTCATACTGTTGCGCCGCAGCAACCATGAGCAGAGCGGTGTGTTCATGGTGCAGCAGCAAACAGCAGAGCCGTGTGTTCATGGCGTTGCGCCGCAGCACCAATGAGCGGAGCCGTGTGTTCATACTGTTGCGCCGCAGCAGCTGCGAGCCGCGTGTTCATGGTGCAGAGACAATGAGCAGACCCGTGTGTTCACAATGGTATAGCTCCGCAACACCAATGAGCAGAGCGGTGTGTACATGGTGCTGTGCCGCAGCAACAATACTTTAGGGTGCAGGTTTTCGTACGCTACCATCTCGCGTCTCGCACGCTCGGGATACCTACGCCGCGGCCTTGCCTAAGCACCTGGCAACACGGGCAGAACCACGCTAGTAAAAAAAGTCGACAGTCAAGAGCATCACCATGTAGCCAGCCGAGTGCGCGCGGCAGTTTGCAATGCGAAGAGAGGAGCATAACCGAGCAAAAAAAAATGTACACTGCTGGTGACGGTGTCGTCTAACCAATAGAACACGGGGACGTCGGTTGTTTCTTTGTCTGTTTCCGACACCCGATGGGGCGGACAAGTTGCGACTAGATCATCGTGAACGGTCGACATGGAATGAATAGTAACTTGGTGCGACGCGGTTTCGTGTATAGCAGTTGGTGTGCGACAGCCCGCCACCAGAGAGAGAGAGAGAGAGAGAGAGAGAGAGAGAGAGAACTGACAGTGAACTTGTTGTTGTTCATGTTGTTGTCTTTTATAATAGGATCTGCCGCGGTCTTTGCCCAGTACCTTCTAACATCGTCCTCACAAGCTACCTATCCCCAAAAGAGTACAACAACAATAGCTGTTCCCACGACAACAGCTGTTGCCACCCCCCGACTTGACCAAAATCACCTAGGAACGTCGATCATGATGTTCCCCTTTCCGGGCCTCACGATGAGGTACGGGGTGTTGCCCATGGACTCGCGGGTAGTGGGACCAAGCTGGTATATGCCGGGGAGACGCTCTTCGTCCACAGGTAACGGGAAGCTCTCGAGAGCTTTGATCACCTGAACAACAGAGCAGCGGCAAAAAATTGTTACTGTTGAGTTTATCTTGTGTTCACCGCGTTGTGTGCAACAGCAAAAAATTAAAATGACTTTTTGAATGATTTTTTTTTCGCCACCTTTTGTGTTGGTATTTTCTATGCATCGATCCCTTCTTGATTGTTGTATTCATAGAAGTCGAAATCAACGCTGACTAGTCGAATGGTTTGATTTCGGCTTCCATATATTGCACCTTTTATCGGGGTATGTGTCCTGTGGTCATGCATTGCGTCCGCGTCAGTTGCGCCAATGCAGACGTAAGAAGGTATTGAGCAGAGGTTGGAACGGGAATTACAGTAGTGGTGGGAAGTCAACAACACAACAACTCCGCCCGTTTGGAATTGCTCAAGCATCGGGTACAGGCGGTAGCTTCCGCATAGACATGTAGATTACTCTGCGGACGACAGATAGGTATACGTGTAGCAAAGGTATCCATATGTAGACACACACAAGAGAGTCCAGCAGGCGACGATCCTCGGAACGTTCCGACAACCTTTGGAGGTCGCCCACCGGCGAGAACATTTTGGGTTGGGTCCGACTCCCCGCCCGTTCGACCAACTCTATGCTAGCCCTCTTCCTAACGTAAACCTCGTTGACGCGGCATCAAACACCACCAGCCGACAGCGACATCGACAGCTCACCTGTCTGTCTCCTCGCATGACACGGATTGATCCCGCGGGACACGCGAGCATCGCTTGGAACGCTCTCATTCGGTCCTCCTGCGAAGCAGCACATTGTACGCACATGCGATCGATAAAAAGCAAGACGTGCATGAAACGCACATCAAGGTTTCTACCAACAGCACGATCAACAGCGCAGGGCGAGACATCACACGGAACGCATGGTGCACAACACACCCGACAGCAGGAAGCGCACCGCCGAAGAAGAAGAAGCAGGTAGATACCGCAGGTGACATGACGTAAGACATCACACCCCCTGGACCGATAGATGGACTACTCGGCAGCAGAACGAGTGTTACGCCGAAAATGACGGCGTTGGAACCGTCTCGTCGAGAGTATTCTTAAAACGCATCGTTTGATATATGCATCATCTTTGTCGGTGGAGTAATCGAACTTTGAAAATCGGTCCAGGGGGTATGGTATCTTGCGTCACCTACGGTATGTACCCCTTCCAAGAAGTGCGGAGGGAATTCTTGCTCATCGTTCAGGCGTACACTACCATGGTCCCGCTAGAGGGCTGGACATTGCAGCGAGCACGCGCTAAATGACTCAAATAACATCGAAATCAACAAGGACCTCGCCTTAGCGGTAAGTGCATGCTGCCGTCGTCAAAGCAACAAGCGCTGCGTTCCAAACAAGTGCCATCATTTCGTGAGAGAAAACGACTCGACACCAAGACTCTCGCGAAAACACACGTCGAGAACAAAAAAAAGAGCATACGTCGAGAACAAAACACAGGTGGATAACAAAAAAAAGAAATATGTCCCAGCAGACCTGCTTATAGCAGTACCGATCTTTGCCGTACCAACGGATATATGGAACTGATTCACAGCACCGACCGTTGTGTTCCTCGTACCTCTGATTTGGGTTGCGAGGCAACCACAGCGCCTAGCCCCGACCTCTTGAAGGTACGGGGGTCCATCCAGCAGCAGATATCACAGTCCACGCAGCTGAGGGCGAGGGGAGGGGAGAGGGGTCATAGATTCAAGGCCACGTAGCTACAATAGTTCCCAGGATGCTGATGTCGGAGTTTTGGGATTTCGATGGAGGCATGCTCATGTGCGGTCAAGGGAGTGGATACGACAGAGAGAGAGAGAGCAAAGCAGCACTACGGACAGCGTGCATACACGAGGGCATTAACACCTCAGCGTTGGTGAGCAGACTTGCGTGCGAGGTACGGAAAAAATATGCTTCGAGCGCGTCGTAGCAGTACGAATAGGAGTAGGAAGAGGAGGAGGAGGAAGAGGAATAGGAGGAGGAATAGGAATAGGAGGAGGAGGAGGAGGACAACAGCTGCCGCAGCTGGTAGATATTTTCCTTCAGGGTGACCACCACCAACATCTGTTGTGTAACTTTCGCTGTGCTCTGAGCAACAGCGAAGCAGTACCGATTGTTCAACGCTTTCGTTTGGTTAGTTGCTGGCCTACCGCTCCCGCGTCCAGCGCCTCCAGCGCAGCAGCAGCAGCAACAACAGCAGCAATAGCAGCAATAGCAGCCCTACCCACAAGCCCACCAACAAAAACAGCAAAACCCAACCAACCACCACTCGCCAACCACGAGCCAATGAGCGTCGATGTCAGCGTGTGCCGTCTTGCACTTTTTGCTACGTAGGCCGAGCGTCGGAGCTCTGTGCGCGTGGCAACGGACCTATGTAGTGCACGCAGCCGTTCTGCTCGACTAGAGGGAACCTCGTGGATCGTTTAAGACTCGCTTGGATCGACAACCGGTGGTAACACATAGCAAGCAGGGTCGCAGGCGACCCCCAACACGCGCTGCACTCAGGAAGGATAGGAGGAGCCACGCAACTAGCGAAGCAAGGAGCGTTCGCCGTTCAGACTCAGAGAGCTGGAAGATGCAGATCATCCGCATTGTATGCTTGGATGTGAGGGTAGGGGGTAGGAGAGAGGGATATGAGCAAGCGCCACAAGCGCTAACAAGTGCAAAACAGGAAAGATAAGCAAGCTAAAAGGGGACGTCATTGCCGAATAGCTTGCGGTCAATTGGCGTGAAGTCTTGACCTGGGCAGTGGGCTAGGAGGCCTGGAAAAGGAAATGAACGAACGGGTTAGGCTTAGCTTAGCCCCGAGTGTGTTGGTTGGCACTTCTTTTCCGTGTCCAGTTTGTCGCATGCCCTGTTTTTTCTTTCCAATAATCCAAATTTGAAACTACTTCAGAAAAAACTACAAAAAAAGAACTACATTCCCACACCCAGAAGGTACACGTACCCGTTATATTTTTGTCACCTTTCGTCCACGAAGAAATCGCCCGATGAATTCCTTCGCTTCCTCATCTTTCGCTTTAAAATCATGGTCAACCCACCGCCGCCCGCTGCCTGCTGAGTACCGTACGCAACAGAGCAAGAACAAATCACGATTAAGAGCGCAACATTGTTAGCGTGTGTGAGGGAGAAACAGCAGCAGCATGCATCAACGCGCGGCCATGCAGAGGCACAGCAGCAATATCATCGCGGTGCCACACACAAGAAGAGCCGCACGTTCGTTTGAAAAATCGCGGCAAACTTCAAACCCATTTGCTGTTTGCATACGCAACGGGCAATGCGGCGGAAAGCAAAACTAGGGCGACATGAATCCCTACAGCTTGGGTCTCCTCTGCGCATCGCCCATCATGGTATCACCGACCTTCTCGCGTCAAGAGCGTGGGGGGAACGGACGACTGAACGGCCGAAAAAAATGGGAACTTGGTCATTCCTGTGGTGTCTTGTTACGGGACTGTGAAGGTGCATAAAAGTTACCGCAGTAAACACGACAGCAATATCAGCATATTTTTGAATCCTAGCACACCGGAATTGAACTCCGAACCTTCCTTCCACGCCGCGTTCCTCCCAGCCCTAGCCCCACCCCTCGACGAACAGCAGCCACATCGCTTGTTGTTGTCACGAAAGCGACCTCCCTGCTGATGACAGGTGTCGCAGGTGCGGCGGCTCCTTGATCGATGCCAAGCACAAATGCCGATGATGGCGGGGTGCTGGTCAAAGCCACGTATGCTGCTAGCACCAACGCACGGCTCAACCAAGGGCTTCTACTCCACCACGAGGGAAGACGATAGGTCATGGTTGCCACAGAGCAAAGCCAGCACAGAGGTGATGACAGCACCTGCCAGCAATGGCGTGGCAGCCCCCACCAGCCGCAAATAGGGGGCTTCGCAGACCGCAGAAGAAGGGTTTCCAAGTTGAGGCTACGCGATGTGCCGGTGGTAGGGGGCGATCGACATTGTCCCCGTGTTGTCGACTCTTCCTCGTGTTTGATACGCCCTCTCGCTACCCCAACGTGGTGTGTGCGTGCAGCAGGAGAAGCAAGGAGAGAGGAGGAGCACTAGGGGGGGGGCTTTTTCAGGTGGTCCTAGTGATTTGTTTCCTGTGAAACTCGCGCAAGGGCAGAGGGCAATTCTCTGACAGCCCAACAGCACAGCAGAGTTTCGAAAGTTCGAACTCGGAACTCGGCCTTTTGGGCAGGGAGGGCAATGCCGGAGCCTCGTGATAAGGAGGCTGGTGGAAGATGCTGTGGGGATGGTGAGTCTGCTTCTGCGAATCATGATGGTGAGTTAGACTGCACCTCTCAATTTCATTTCATTTGCGCACTCACGCCCCTACGCACACGAATCTACATTAGTGATGTAGTCCTTTTACGGGCACGGTCGGTGTGCATACCACGTTGACCACTTCATGGACATTCACACGTAGTGTCCACTACTTGTACATACATAGTTCCACAGCACACATGGTGATGCCTGCTGTCAGGTATGCGTACGAGAGAGGGAGAGAGAGAGGGAAAGGAGATAGAAAGTTGCCGTTGCATCACGGTTGACCGTTGACTTCAAAGGCAGACAGTAGTGGATCGAGGGACAGCGGTGATTGCAACTCTGTAACGACAATGAATGCATTCCATTCCTCCGGCCCTCCCTTTGATGACCGACTTACAGCAGGTGTTCATCGCAGCGACAGAAATGTTTTTAGTCCCTTCTTTATCCAAGTATAGTCTTAACCCCTTTGGGTCTAGGCTGGACTGTCAGATTTTTTCTTTTTCGCCAACAAAAAAAATTGAGAGCGAGAGCGAGCGGGAGAGGGAGAAGTGCAGAGAAAGACACCAGTGCTTCTGCATACGCAATAGCTACCTCCACCTGTAGGCCATGAGAGAAGCCGGCGACAGGGTGGTGGCCACAGATAGGGTCGTAGAAGGGTTGATGGGTGGTCGCGCTGCGGTCAGTAGGGCAGGTTAGCTGTGCAGACTTTGAAATGATCAGTCGTCTAGCTGGCTCAACTAGTCTATTTTCGGCATATTGTAAATGATCAGTCCAGAGAGGGTAAAATGATCAGTGAAGACCCATAGCTGGTATTTGTACTTCTGTACTTCTCTGGTCTTTGTCCTCCCCCGAAATGTGCCCTGCCAGCTCTCTAGCACTCCTGTGTTTTTCAAACAACAAGCACATCCACCAGCACACCAGCACACACCTGTACCTCGTGGTTTCCTAGGTTCGGGCGAGGGTATGTGTGGCGCTACGAGTGAGTGTGGATGTGTTGCTGATATGTTTTACTCGTCTGCAGCAGTAGTATAAAGTAGTGTTGTTGTAGCGTTTGTTGCAGCTGCTCACAAAATGGCTGCTGGATCTTGGGAACGATTTTCAAATTGTTGGGAGATGCAGCATACCACGATATCCTGGATATCTGGGCTTCGGCAGGGCTTGCAGTACCCCTCCCTTTCGCTGCCCTCTGCTCTTTGCAGCAGTGGCTACGTTCGGGCGAGTGTATGTGTGGTGCTGCGAAAGAACACATATGTATGCATGTATGTATGCACACACACGTTCATGTATATACGTTGAGAGGTTCATGATTTGGCATTGATTGGCCCCATTCCCGAGACCTTGATATTACCCGCTGTCACTGACGTCTCTTCATTGGTCAGCCGATTAGCGCGGGTGCTAAAAATCTAGACACACCTATGGACTTGCCAATACACAGCGCGAAGGGCTGCAGGGCGGCAACTCCACGACTTGCCACTACACCAGCATTTGCAAATGATCAGTCAATGATCAGTCAGAACGCCTGAAGACTCAAAAGGGTTAAGCTATGCGATAGTGCTGCAGCAGTCAACAAATCATTGTCACCAATAAACACCCAGTAAGATCGCGCAACTTCGCGTTTCCTAGCCGGATCTGGACTGCTGTGCATGGCAGTCTCAACAGTAACCGATGTCGAAATCGCACTGGGTTGCAAAGAGGATTTGCTTTGTGTTTGTGGCAGCTTTGATGGTAAAAAATCCTTCACGCGCGAATGGGTTCCAACAACGAAGCCGCAATAATGTTGGCAGAGCCGCACGTGTGTTTTTAGGGCAACTATCAACTTTGCCGTACTCATGTAATTGTGCGCTTCAACCAGTTTGTGTCTCGACCCTCTAGGCCCAGACGAATAAATGAAACACACTTCATACCAACACAACATGTACACATCGAGTTACACTCCCGGCGCTGTTGTCTGCGACCTCGATCCCTTTCGGCAACTTTCAACTTGGTCGCTCTGCGTTGGTACCTAGGTTCGAACCAGAATGAGGCATACACACCAATACCACATGTACGCATCGAGAAGCAAAAGCCGACTTCCACGCCAGCTGTTGATTGCTACCCTCGCTCCCTCTCGGCCCTGCTGTTTAGAACCCCGCTCGGCGACAGCGCATGCCGACCCTCATTCGACGGCATCAGCGTCGCCGGAAGAAGCAACAATACGCGCTGAGCCTGCGGCACCTCCACCCACCTCAAGAAGAAGACCTGTTGAACCCGAGGAGTCTTTGTACAGCATGAAGCACGTCGACGAGCAGGCGAAGCAGGCGGTAGACAACATCTCGACCCTGACGTCGTTCAAGTCGACCATCCTGGCCCGGACGGCCGTCTACGATACGCCCGAGGGCGTCCTCCACTCGCTCAGCTTCTTCAGGAGGAGGTTCAAGTGGTTCGACTTCGACGAATCGGACCTGGAGAAGACCACCACCTACTACTGCTGCGACGAGCAGGGCATGCACAACGTCCACCTCACCGGCTACCTCATCATGTGCCACAAGGTCCGCGGGAAGTACGTCTTCCGCTCCTGCGTCGCCGAGTTCTACGAACAGGTGACATTCGACCAGCTGGCGTACAAAGTCCTCGCCTCCAGCACGTCCATCGTCGGTGGCATTGCCGCCAGCGCGCTCACGGGGGCTGCTATGGCGTGGCCCACGGACGTGTTTACGTGGGGAACAGGCTCCGTGGTCGGGGGGCTAGCGGGAGCCGTCGTGGGGGTCGTCGGCGCCGTATTCGTCAACGTGGACGCGGACTCCAAGGAGAAGCAGATCGAGAAGAAGCTCGGGTCCAGCCTGTACAACGCCAGCACGAACAGGATCAACAGCCACGGGATCATGGAGGTGCTTCTCCTACACTACCTCTTGGCCGACCAGAAGTACAACATCGAGGGGACCGAGGTCCGCATCACGGGCGTGCAAGAGCACGACTATAACGCCATGGCCGGGATGGAGGGGGGTAGAGCAGGCGGCGGCGGCGGCGGCGATACAACAACCGCATAGCACTGACTTGGGGGTGACTTATAGCGAAATAGATGCTAGATCCCCCCATCAGACAGACTCAAATCTTTAGTGAAATGGTTGGATGGCCCTATCAGACCGACTCAATCTCGTTGTCGAGGATGGAATGATGGCATACAGCGTCGTGCGAGACCGTCGTACATTGGGTCGCTGGTGTGTTCGGGGGGATGTAAATAGCGTGCAAATATTTCTAGTGTGTCTAACTTTCGATGCGTCTCGTCATGTGGCCTTTTCAGCGATTGATTATTTCTGGTCGGGAAGAGCGCGGAATGCGTTTTTTTTTGTGGTGATGGTTACTATAGGCAGTTTGAATCTACATCTGTACATGTTATTGTGCATGTTGTTGGGCGACGTCGAGGATGAGGGGGCACGTGGACGGACACCCCCCGCGCCTCAAGAAAAAGACGCCGCGGGGCCGCTATACCGTCGTAAGTCTATGGTAGGTTTTGTGCCTACCGGTTCGCCGTCGACATACTTGGGGCCTTGGCTATGCTGGGAGTGTTAAGTTTGTTGACAGGAAGCGATCGATTTTTGGTGTGATGTGCCATGTGCTGGGGCTGTGTTGTCGGTTGTTGGCGTGTACATGTCGTTGGGATATTGATCTAGAAGGCGAAGCATCTTGTGATCTTTTTCCGCCGCGTGCACAGGCCGCTGTTGGGCCGCGGCAAGACGTGCTGTTCTTGCAGCGGGGGCGCCGCAGATGAGAAATGCTCCGTCGTGACCTCTCCATTCTTGGTCCTCAGTTCCCCCGGCACATGACTGACTAAAGCAATAACTGACGTATTCCACTTGTTCAGGGACATATATGTTTTTAAGGGCTCTATTTAGGTTCTTCAAAGGGTTGTTTGCTCTTTTGCCTTGTACAATACCGCCGAATGTATTGTAGCACGTTGGCTGAAATACGTCAACAAGAAGCGTGTCACCTTCAAAGTGAGGCCCGCAAGACCGGACATTTGGTCCCTACTGGGATAGACAACCAGTAGATGGAAAAGTCATTCTGGTTGAAGCCTGGCTGTTTTTTGGGTGTGCCGTGAGCGTCTTGCGTACACCAACCGGCATGGAATGTGATAATATGTACACGGAAGTAGGACATGTACAGCAGTGTGGCTGATTTGTGTAAAGTACACGGAAGTAGGACAAGAAATAGCACAAGGGGGCTGTAGGTCTTTACCACGTTTGTTGTTAGTGTGATTATGTGTAAAGGCTATTTCATCGCCGGTGTGTGGCTGAGCGCCCATAAGCAAAACTCCGACGCCCTCCCTCCCCCCCCCCCGTCCCCGGTGCTTTGCTCCGGTGACTATTATATAATCGACTAATGTAGATGGTCACAGCTATCTTCTGAACCATACTGGTACTAGTTTCCTACGAGCCCGGTGTGCTGGCGGGGAGCGTCGTCGACCTCATTCTAGGATTGGGCGGGGGGGGGGGGTCGGAGCAGGTTGAATAATAGAACGTTATTTTTCTGATCGTTCGTTGTCGGGGAACCCCTGCACTCGTTTGTGGATACAGTAGTTGGTGTCATAAAAAGTCAATTTTGTGGCGTCAAATCAAAGAAAAGTAACGCCGCAACCATGACCAAAGGTATACCAGTAGGCTAACAGAGCGCAAACTGCATTTCTTCCGAACATTGCCGTCCTGGGGGCGCGTTTTCTCCTCTTTGCCCTGTTGCCTACCAGGGGTTGGCTTGCCACAGAATAGTTTTGAAAGATTGAGGCAAAACGAAGGACTGCCGTGCGTCTGCTCTTGCACATCAAAAAGGGCGGACACCAGAAATGGGACCACTTCGTGCGTTAGCTTACAGGCACAAGTTTTCTCGCATGTGCGTGAACGACAGAACGCTAGTTCAGACCTGATGCCCTACCAGCCACACGCACCGCGATTTTAAACACAAGACCGACATCTACAGAAATGGGTTTCACCCATGATAGGCGTCGCAAGTAGGAGACCAACGACTACTGCATACTCGTCGCCATCCAAGCACACGTCAAGTGCTCTCGCCTTTGCAAACAAAAATGGGCGAAAACAGCCACGCCAAACCTCCCCATCGGCAAACACCAAGCACGGAGCAGTAGCACACAAATTCACCAACAACGCCAGAGCGCGCCACAGGCGGAAGCCAGCTCGAAATAAGCGTAACTTGCACGTCTGCTCAGAGTCGGCTGTGGCAGTCTGTGAGGGGTACAAGAGGCAGATATTGCAGTAACATAGTAGCTGGCGCTCTCGCATATCACTACTTTACCGTTAGCGCCCGCACGTAAGTACTTATACTTGGCAGTGAAGCAACAGAACCTCGAAACACGAAAAAATCTAAGAACTTGAGCACCATTTGTGAGCTCGGGTAAGAGCCCTACATTTTACAACCTATATAGCGCCCATTCGTAGCATAACCACTGTATCGAGAGCTTCGACCGCCTACGTGGCGAGTTGTAGAGAGTTTCGGCCGCCTGCATGACGAGTTGTACGGGTTGCGAGCGCTACTGCTGGTACAATAACTGCCTCTAGGCGAGCACTTCTGCTACCTGGAGGGCTCTCTCGTACGCCACCGCGGCAGCCTTAGCCTTTGCCTCCGCCTTAGGCTTGCCGGTCAAGGCTGATCGGGCTTTCCTCGGCTTCTTGGTTGCGGGCGCCAGGGCCTCCACCGCACCTCCACCGTCGCCACCCTCTTCGTCATCGCTACTGCTGCTGCTACCATCGCTATCCGATTCCTCTTTCCCGGTCGTCTTGGAGGTCGCCTCCTCAGCGGTGCCATCAAAGAACCCGAAAGAGAATTCCCCCGCATTACCTGTTCGTGCCGCCGCCGGGGGTGCCGCCGCTACCCCCCCTTCCCCTCCCGTCTGCCGTGCCCCCGCAACAGCGCCGCCATCATTGTCCTCCTCCTCGTCGTCGGTGGAATCGCTGTTGTACCCGCTCGGGACAACCGCTGCCGTTTCGTTCGTGACGGTTTCGTCGTCAGCCGTTGTGACTTCCGCCACCGCCGCCTCTCGTTCTGCCGCCGTTTGCTCCTTGCCCTCATCGGGGCCGTGCTTGTCGATGATCGCTTGTGCGGCGGCCAGCACGCGCTGAGACGAAGGAAAACGCGGCGTGATCGATTTTCGGACGGGGGAGGGAAATGCGGGACAAATCGCAGCTGTTGCGAGTAGGAACATAACGCTGTGGGCAGGAAGATGCCGAGCGAGCGAAAAGCGGGACAACTCGTTAGCTGCTACGAGTAGGAAAATCATGCTGTGGGCAAGAAGGTGCCATGACGCATGACTTTCGCTTGCTCCAGGGCTATCGTTCGGGGCTTTAACAAGATTGCAGCCATGCTACTAAATGCTGCCAACCTGAACTTCCACACTCGAACCCCCTTCCGTCGGAGAATACAAACTTTAAGATAAAGACATCAAGCGTGCGAGGTAGAAACCACGACGTTCAGTCAATAAAATTTCGTCACTCGGAAGGGTGGTTGCTTTTTCCCTCTTTGTCTGCGTATGAATCTCGGCCAAAGCACTAAGCGTGTGCATAGCTTTGGAGGCAGATATACCGCTCATGTTTGGCGTATGCTACAAAAAACAACAAGCATAGTGGAACTGTTGAAAGACGGGAAAAAAAAAGACCACGGGCAGCTATTATAGTGCCTCCCAACATTTGATTGCTTGAACTACAACAGCTAGGGACATAAATCAGTGCTACCATTTGGAACACCAAGCGGGACCGTCCCTACCACGTCCAGACAACAACAACACGATCAATCCCTTCTAGACGTTCACAAGCGTGATCCAACCCTCAACATCTCCTAGCGGAAAGACAAAATGGAGAAACGCTTGTTCCAACACCGTTACGGGCACATCCAAACCCAACTCGGTGTCCAGGGGGGGGGGGGGGGGGGGGGGGT